AAAGCGCCAGCCTGCTCCACCCAGAGAAGCACACTTTGTGAGAACCAATGGAAAGGAGCCTGAGCTACTGGAACCTATTCCCTATGAATTCATGGCATGATGGGTGTTAAAAACAAACTAATCTGTGGTCTATAAAAAACAAAAAACAAAAACAAAAAGAAAAAGTCCTGGACTCTCATGTGGCTGACCACAGCTTGAGTCCCAGACCTGGTGGCTTGCTTTAGCGCTCTCTTTTTTTGATGAGCATATGTGTCCTATAGCAAATTAAAAACAATAATAATAAATTAAATTAAATTAAAAAATAATTCTTTATAAATAAAAAAATAGGAACCTGTTGCCAGCAGATGGTGTGGTGGTTGAGGCATTGGATTTCTTTTCTTTTTTTTTTTTTGAGAGGTTTTCACTATAGGGCGTGTGCGCTCACCAGACAGACAGAGAGAGACATAGAGACAGAAAGCGAGAAATCAACCCCCAGGGGGAATGGTCACGCCGCAATCCCTTCTCCTCCATTCTCCTCTCGGGATCTTGGGCATGCACGCACACGCGCCTGGCATGAGTTTTAAGCCACCGGGTCCGGGACACAAACCGCGGTTGACTACATGGGAGTCCAGCGACATAGCCATTATGCTAACTGCTGGTTCCTGAGCCATTGGATTTCCACATGGTTAACCACGGTTCAAGTCCCAGATCTGGCAGCTTACTTCCTCATGTCCCCTATCTCTGGTCAAATTAAAAAATAAAAATAAATAAGATAAAATAATTCTTTTTTAAAAGTTTAATTTAATTTAATTAATTTATTTTTTTGAGAGGTTTTCGCTATAGGGCGCGTGCGCTCGCCAGACAGACAGAGAGAGATATAGAAACAGAAAGCGAGAAATCAACCCCCAGGGGGAATGGTCACGCCGCAATCCCTTCTCCTCCATTCTCCTCTCGGGATCTTGGGCATCTCAGACCTGGCAGCTTAAACTCACCCCAGGCACCTGTGCATGCATCCTCAAAATCCCAGGAGAAGGGTTTGCAGTGTGGCCATTCCCCCTGGTGGGGGTGATTTCTTGTTTCCTGTCTCTCTGTTTCTCTGGCAAGTACACATGCCCTATATCAAAAATCTCTCTAAAAACTAAACAATAAATAATTTTTTAAAAATATATAATAGTATAAAATAAAATACATAATTAATTTTACATCCTGGAGAATGTTTCAGAGCT